ATGATGATTTCCGTTTCGTATAAACAGTAGCTGCTTATCGGCAAGGGTAAATACACGTATATACATGTATATATATATATTTGTGTGTATTTTGTCTGAGCTGTCAGGGTCCCGGATTGCGATCATCGGTTCGCATTTATCGCATATGCGCAGAGCCGATTTGTTATTCTGTTGCCTCTTCCTGTTATTATTGCGCCTCTCTTTTCATACATGCATGTATGTATATGTATATATCAATATATATGTATATATATACGACGATGACGTTGGCAAGAATTTGAACCATAATCGCCTCAGTCAGCCAGTCAGTCAGTTGGTCGCTGGCTGGTCTCCGTTTTCATTTCGTTTTCAAATTCAAATTCCATAACAAATTGCACAAGATAAACAGAGACTTCCTATGCGGGCATCGAGCATCGGGCATCGGGCATTGAGCATCGGGGCTATGAAATGCGATAACTGGACCCGGGTAATGTACCACAGCAGAGCCCCTGACCATGACCGTGACCAAGTGAAAGTTGCCTGCCATTGGCGTACAGCCTTTGCCTGGCAACCAGAGCCGAAGTCGAAGGCGGAGGCCTGCACTCAGCTGGCCATCAACGGCTTTTGTATACTTTGCATGTGGCACGCACTTCTTGCCACATTTAGTCAAAGAGTTTGTCTTGGGATCTAGGCGTCTGTCTGGGCGTTGATCGTTCGTTGAGGCATGCGGCTCGTCTGTACGGAGCGTGACGCCGTTTACATAATCTAATCGCCTGTTGAGTGAGCGGAAAATATGCTTAATAAATTAGCGGTTACTCTGCATATGAGAGATCTAAGATCTTCACATCTTGCCACATAATCAGCGAGCATGCAGCGATCATGTCAGAGATCAAGTGAGTTTCTCTGATTCAATTGGTTGGCATCTCGTGAATGATCTGTTCGTTTTCATGTTAACTGCGATGTCAGCACAGATCACTGAGTTCAGTTGAGTTTCTCAAGCAAATGCCATGCATTTATCTTAAGTTATGTTTTCATCATATCATTGACGAATGAATCTTAAACTATTAATTGCTTTTATTTCTCTGATTGAATTTTATTTAGTTTATTAGTCACATTCAATAATAATATAGTAGTATAAATATATCAACTGCATAAAATTGGAAATATTCCTGAGCTGCCTATGCATATAATCGTCCTTTCCTAAGTAAGGAGCTATGTAAGGTGCTGAACATATATGACTAAAGTTGTGGCATATCGGAAATAGCAATTTTACATATTAAATTTTGACTCATATTGTGACTTGAGATTAAATATATATATTTGTTATGAAATTTATTCTTATTACATATGTATATACTTTTGAATTTTTTCTGGAGTAGCGTAACACAAAATATAAATATGAAATATAAAAAAAAAATATTTAATATGAAATATAAAATATAAAATATGAAATATAAAATATAAAAAATAAAATATAAAATTTAAAATATAAAATATAAAATATAAAATATAAATATAATATATAAAATATAAAAAATAAATCTGAACACCTGCAGACTAAATATGTATATAGATTCCTTGTAGCATCAAGGATGGGAAATAAAGTCTTACAGCATTTTATTCAGAGAAACCTATGAGACCTATGTAGTCTGTGATACGTAATAGTTGCAAATAAATGCTTAGATAAATAAAATTATTTATGTTCATGTTCAGAGAGAAGTCATAGATCATATTTAGTTTTACTGCGATAAGAAATATAATATTATATTTTATATATTTACCAGCAAGGACTTTATAGCTCAAATAAAGCGAGATAATTCTACATGTATTCCAAAAATTTTACTTCAAGAAACTTTATCCAATTTATATTATATTGTAAGAAATACATAGTACTTAGTACTAGTAATTTATATAATATACCTATATTATTAAAATAAATATTAAAATTCATGTGTAAAAAATACAAAATGTATGATTAAAGTCCATAATTCATAGAACTATTTATTAATAAGACTTTTTTTACAGCTAGAAGCTAGAAGTGAAATAAACTATGCTCAATTTCAAGAATCAATCTTTGCATAATTTCTTGATTTCGATGGCTTTTGCTGCGCTTCAGTTGCATTCATTTGACTCGAGGTGTCAGCTATGAAATCAAGTGGTTCATTCAGTAAACTGTAATGAATCCAAATTAGTTTGTAATCAGTTGATGCGCTTATATCTCTAGACATGGCAATCACAAAGTTGTATATTAAGTTATTAAGTGATCTCACAACCACTCGGGAACAGAGTTCAAAGAGCAACAATTGTGAGTGAGTGACTGACTCTAGAGCAACGAATGCTGAAGAGATCAGGGATCTTGTCTTTACGAAAAACTACCCCACACTGATTTTCTCAGAAGCAGCGCCGCCGAGAGTCTCGGGCATAATTGAGTGAGTGTACAAACAGAATGATCCTAAAAATTGAACAGCCCATAAACAGCGCCGACATGTGAAACAACATGTGTGCGCAGCTCTCTCCAAAATGAGAGGGGAGAGGGGTCTCCTGATCGATGCTGCTGCTGTTGGCTCGACTGTTGCTGTTGCTGTTGCCGATGGGCACTTGCAATCCAACCGCATGCGGGGTCTCAAAAATAGCGCCAATGTCGTCGCCGCCAACGCTGCTGCCAAATGAAGCGATCTCGATGCGCTGCCAGAAAGGATATATGTACATGATTATAGAGTTTGTATTAGATATGCTCTAAGTTGACTAAATTCATGAAATATTTATAAAAAAATGCACATATTATAAAAATACTGTTAAATTATTGTTAGTCATGTTTTCTCATAGTGTATTCAACATTCGGTTTGCTCAACGAATTCTCTCGCTGTGTGCGAGGCGTTGAGCTGTAAGGGAGCTGCGAAGTCCGGGTGCCACAATCACTATATACACTCACTATCGAATACATACAGTTATATGTAAATATAAATGCCTATATACATACATATATGTACTTTATATTTGTGGTTTGTTCAATCGCAGTGGTTTTCCCTTTTTGGCGGGGGGTATTTAGAAAAAAAAAAGGAAAAATGTTGTGGAAATTTTCATTTGTTTCTACAGTTACGAAATTTATATATAATTTGTATTTATGTAGCTGCTTTGCGTTCGTACGTAATAAATTTTCGAAACTCAAACCAAAATGTGGGTCGTTGGCACTTGCATTCGTTTCGCTTCGTTTTGAGTCATTTTGAATCATTTTGAATCATCAAAGCGAGCAAGCTATGTATGCTTTTTTATTTATATTTAGTATGAAATATTACGACAATTTTATAAAGTATAGAAATAAATCATAAGGCCATACATAGTTGCAAAAATGTTCAGCATCTTATAAAGAAATGAGAAAAAATTAAAAAAAAAAAAATTAATAGGAATATATTTTAAATTATAAACTAGATACGAATATTTTGTTTGTTAAAATGATTTTATTTTTATTATAAGTGTTCATTTAAATAAATGTAAATAAAACATGCAAGCATTCACAGCAAATAGTTTAGACGAGCGACAAATTAATGATCCCCTAATATAAATAATAATTTCTAATTTATGTATGTATGTATGATATAAATAAACAAATCAAAAACTGTAAATAAAAAATTATATAAAAAATTAAATATACATTACATTATAAATACAACAAGCTTATAATAACAATATATCAATATTATAAGTACAAATAGTTTTAAAATATATATACATCTTGTTAGAAATTATAATATACATATATACATATTTCTTAATATATGTACCTTTTATCAATATAATTTCATTTAGTATGCGTCATATACAAATAAATAAAAATAATAAATACATATAAATAAAAATAACGTATGGTATATGGAAAAATCATAATATTAATTTTTGTAGGCAGATAAAACAAGTTGTTATTATTGAACAAAAAAAAATTGTATTTAATTAAAAATTACAAAGTAATTATAAAGTTAGTAAAATAAAATGGATAAAAGCTGTACTTTACAATTCTGAAAAAAGTTTTCACCTACAATAGACAGATAATTTAGATAGAGAAAGCTATCAATAACATGTTAATATGCTATATTTAGAAGAGAACTCATAGAGAACTTCAATGATAACTTAATCATACAAGAAAAGTAAACAGATTCGCATAACAGATATACCATAGTTGGTTTTTTACAGCAGGGTGAGTGATCGGGTGGGCGAGTTATCGAAAGAATTCCCCAGTTATTTTCCCAGACACGCATATCTAATCAATACTTTGCATCGAGCTTTAGATAAATAAACATGCGAGATAACTGGAAATTGTTAGTCGACTTACTATATGAATTAGTATATATTTAGTATAATTTTTATTCATAAATTGTAGTTGAAATTTTGCTATACTAAGTCAAGAAGAAATATAGAAAAATTTAAGAGTTATATTAAATTTTTAGTACATATATAAAATATCATTTGAATAAATATTTATATTATGTTAAATAGCTTATAAAATCCAAACAATAATATAAAATATTTTAATAACTTATAAATATCATTCAACTAAATATTCATATTATATTAAACATTTTTTATAATTTTATTAAAATTCTTTAAGTTCCGCTCATTTGTTAACTCAACACAAATTTTAAAAATATATTTCGAAACATTAAAATATTCACATGACAAGCAAAATTGTGAGCTATTTTATCTTAAAGTAGAGCTCGCTAATAAATGGGGCTACAATTAATATTGTGCAACATGCATACGAGTCACAATTAAGCCACCCACCCAGGTCGGTTGCCAAATTTTCCACTCATTTTGACAAATTTTTTGCCAACTTGGTTTATACTAAAAAGAAAAAAAGAATTCTTGAACATTTAAATGACCCCAAAAAGAACTCAAGTCGCAATTTTTGGCCAGCTCAGCGCAACTTTAGGAAATGGCCAACATTTCAAAGCCAAACAGTATAGTTGAAGCCACATGTGCTAGCTGGGCAGATTCCAGTCCACCTATATAAAGTAGACGTGCACTTGGAAGTGGCATCAGTCATCTTTGATAACTAAAGCAGCATCTACAGCCTCATTATGAAATTCTTTGTGTGCTTCGCTCTCATCGCCATTGTGGGCTCCGCTTTGGCCAGTCCGACCGGCAGCAGCTCGGCTTCCGTTAACAACCAGGAATCCGAGTCTGATAACCAGGGCTATGGTGACTTGACCCGTCTACGCAAGTCCGCTTACGGCGGTGGCAGTTCCGGCGGCGCAGCCAGTGTGCCAGCTCCTCCCTGCCCCAGAAACTATTTGTTCAGCTGCCAGCCCAACCTGGCGCCAGTGCCATGCAGCGCTCCTTCTCAGGGCTACGGCTCAGCCGGCGCCTACTCCTCGCCCGTGGCCAGCTACCTTGACCCCAACTACGCCGTACCCCAGTATCAACAGAATCTCTACGGCGCTGCCTACTTGCCCCAGGCTTACGGCTACTAGAACATCACGAGCAGATTCTGAGGACTTGAGCTGCCGAGAAACCAAAATCTTAGCCATACATAAAGAAATTTTATAAAAAATGTGCTGCAATTAAATTGATAAACAATCGGAAAATTTGATTTATTCATTTTGATTTTAGCTGTTGGTTGTTAATGTTTAAGCAAATGAGATTATATTTATGGGATTTTTGAGAAATTTTTAGTGCAACTGTTCGGGTGAATAGTATTAAGTATTTTATTAAACATAAATCATTTAAGGCTTTCACTTAGGACTGATAAGAGGTCAGATTTATTGTAATTGGTCCA